ATGATTATACAGATAATATGTAAATTTTTTAAAAACTTGGGCCAACAGTCTTTATTCTTAGGTCCCAACAGTTATCAGATGTTTCTCTCTTCTCATCCTTTCTTTTGGAATTGTCATTAAAGGATATATCAGGAGGAGGATAGATTAGAGCCCTTACAGAAAGAGAATAATATTCTGGAAAACTTTAAGATTACAAATTAAGAGGTCTGTGCAGTCAGCTGATTTATCTCCCTGCTCTTCAGTTAGAGCCTCTTTTAAATTAGCATCCTACACGTTTACAGGGAACCAGCTTAGTTTCCTATAGCAGCTCTTGTCTGTCAGCCGTCTAACTGTCTCACTCAGATTTATTTTCCAGTTGGGCTCTTGTCCTTGACTCCTTTTTCTGGTGAGCGTTATTTGGTAAAAAGACCTCCAGTCCTAGTTTTGGAAACCTACTTGGGCCTCCAACCCAGCTCTGGTTTGTGACCTTGAGCAAGTTACTTAACCTTTCTGAACCTCAGTTTCTTCAGAGAATAAGAATCCTTTTTTTATTTCACAGTGTTCTGGTAGGAGTCAATGGGATAATTGATTTTTTTTTTCTTTATAGGCATCATTTCTTTTCTTTTCTTTTTTTCCGGGGGGGGGCAGGTGGTGATTAGATTTATTATTTATGTAATTTTTTTTTAATGGAGATCCTGAGGATTGAACCCAGGACCTCATGCATGCTAGCCCTTCACTCTACCACTTGAGCTGTACCTTCCCCCCGATTTTTAATTATAATCATATAATTACAGTGTATATGAAAGTGTTTGGTGACCTAAGTTCTGTCTGGAGGTGAACAGATGTGATTATTGCTCATACACAAAGGTAAAGAACACCTCTCAATTTGTTCCTTTTTTTTCCCTAATCGCATGTCCGAGATGAATGATCCCACTTCTTTTCAGTGTTTTCTTACATATCATGTTTGCTAACTTTGAAATAATTTATTGTTGTCTTCCTTGGGCCTCTAGTCTTTATCACAGTTTCACAATTCCTTCAGGAAAACATTTCAACTCTTTTCTGGCTCAAGAAGTATCTTTTAAAATGAAATGCATTGCAATCAAGAAACTATAGTTAATAACCCTTTCCTACTTGTAATTCGTGAAGTTTAAAGGACTTCATGAAATATAAATGGTCTATTTCTCCCCCAAATCAACCGTCTTTACTTCAACAAATGGGATGAAAAAAAATTCTTTGAGGTTACTTAAGACTTCATAGCAATGAGTTTGTATTCATTACAGTAGTGACTAATTAAACTAATGATGTATGACTTTGCAGGTTTTAGCAATTGAAATTAAACTATTTAATGGGATGCCTTTAAAGAGGTTATTTATGTGTGTGTATGTATAATATATATATTTTTCCCAAGGGAAATTGATAAAGGTATCTTGGAGAATCTTGCTCCTTAGAGTGTGACACTTTTTAAGGGATAAGAAAAGCTGCTGCTGAATCATGCATTAGGGTGTATTTCTGTAGATGCTAAGAAAAACAAAAGTTCATACATAAAAAATCAGTAACAAGAAAAAGTCTGTAACAATGCGTGTAAATGTAAGTATATAGGTATTTTTTTTTTTTACTTATGTGGCTGAAATGTTAAAAAAAAAACTTTTTAAATTGAAGAAAAAAGAAAATTTATGACCAACTCCATTACTTGAAAGTCTTTACTGACCCTTAACTTATTACTATATCTTGTCTTTTTCCATTCCCAGACTTAGAGTACCTATGCCTGTTATAGGTAAGCCAGTCTCTTTTGGTCAAATCTGGAGTATGTTCCCATTTCTCTTGCTCATTCTGGTGCCTCTGTGACATTCACATTTTCTTTTATCTTCTCTTCCCATGCTCCACAATTGGCCCCTTCCTACATGTAGGTTTTTCCTTCTTGTCCCCACTGGTAATATCTGGCCCTTTACCTGCTCCGTCTTAATTTCTTCTAGTAATGAACTGGTAAGACTGGCTTATAATTTTATGTCTCGAATCTATCTTTAGGGCTAATTTTTCTCTAAACTTGCCTAGTTGGATTCTCCTGAAATCTCAAGGCAACATGTCGAACTACCTCAGTCACCTTTTCTTGTCCAGCTCCTGCCTTCATTTCCTACCAAGGAATACATGATTTTCCTGAGGCATCCAGCCTTGACACTTCCTGAAGTCTTCATTGTTCCCCACCTTTCCTTTGATCACCAATGCAAGCTCTTGCTATTTTTTTCGTTTTGCCATCATGTGCATCCAGACTTTTTTCAACTGGGCACCATCTCCTTCTTACCATCTATCTCTAGTCTCCTGCAATTTACTTTTCATATAGTTCTGAAATTAGTGTCTCTAAAATACTGCTTTCCTCTTGTTACTTTTCTGCTCAAGAACCCAATTTACTTTTCATGGCTAATCTGACATTCAAACCCCTTCAGTCAGGAGACTTTCTGCTCTCTGGCTCTATGCACTTTCTTTCCAGACTTACCTCAGGCAGGAGACTAGACTGTTACCTGCTTTCTCTGAATGCCATGTTCATTCTACACTGTGGGCCTCATTCAGTTTGCCAACTTAGGATACCACTGTTTCTATAGAAACCTAACCTTAAGACACTTAAATAGGAAGGAAATTAAAATACACATATTGGATATGTAAGCATTCCAGTCAAGTAATTTCTTTAAAATATCAGATGGAGTATGAAAGAGATGATTGAAGGACAACAGGGTGATGAAAGGACTTTATTAGACACTCAGATTTGGTTATGATTTAAATTTTAGTTGAACATTGAATTAGGTTTCCATAGGGGAGGAAAAAACATGGAGTATTGTCTCTCTACAAAAATCATTCAGTATTGAGTTCATTTGTATTAGAAGAGTTTCATAGTTTAAAACTTTTTTATTTTATCCATATTTTCTTTTCCTACTAGGCATATTTGACTTTTTCTACTTTTTTTGGTGTATTAAAAATTAATTGTAGTTTGCTAGGCTTTGTGTGTTTTTATTATTAGACCTCTTATTATTACCTTCTTCAGTGCTTCATCACAAAATTTTAAAACTACCTAGTTCTTAACTAATTACATTGACCCATTTCCATGTACTTTCACAGAATCTTCAACAGTTTTTATTTTTACTTCCCCTTAGTTAGGATTATATATCATTAAAAAATTTGGCGAGCCTTTGCAGTTGGGAAAAGCCTTTAGGAAACCTACCTTCCCAAAATTCTACACATTAACATAGCACTTACGTTTCAAAGATAAAAGGTAGGTACAAAACCTCACCCAAAACCGTTATCTATACTAAACCCTGCTTTTTGATTGATAGATTTTTTACCTAAACCTTAACATTTTCCAAAAAGTGATCTCCTGCCTGTTCCTCCCAGGGTTAAAAATACTGCCTTGTCAGTCAAGTGTATAGTATGCTAATGTAAATAACATGTTATCTTTGTTTAAAACAGTTGGTTTGGGAAGCTAGCAAAGTAGCACATTCTTTCACATATTTAATAAGATATGAAATTTATATTATGATTCTGTTAAATTGTATCAGTAAGGTTACCAAAATCAGTACCAAATGATTGAAATCTACCAATTTCTGCTTATTAAAGTTTTTGGTGTACTGTTATCCAGTTTATTGTGTTTGTGAATTGTGCTTTTAGGAAAATTCTGGGCACTCTTATTGTATACTCATGTTTTAAGTTATTTGTGCTTGTAGTAATGACATATAATAAAAAATGTATATACTCAACTTACACTGCACCTGTTGATCATTCAACTCTTTTTATGACAGATCAACTCTTGAAAAACCAAAATAAAAATGAACCATGTTACCTGGAGGAATAATTTTTATCTTATTCGTGTTGCTTTATACTCTGCTAAAACAAAAGAAAGTTATTTTTCAGCTGTTGCAATGGCTGAAGGGGATACAATATACATGTGGTTTAACTGTGAGGAAAATATGAAGAGAAAAAGTATAAAAAATACCCTGATGATAACCAATTGGCATTTTGTTCTTAAGGATCAAAGGAATTTTACTGCATTTTATATGTATATCATTGTAGAGTCATCTCTTTTCCTGGCTTTTCCTTCTACGGTAAGAACACTCTGCTAATATCTGTGTTGCTTCTTCTTTTTTAAAGTAAAATCTTGAAATGGTATTTAAATTGTTGGAAGTTTCATGGTCTTATGGAAATTCAGATTAATTTAATAATTTAAATATAAATACAGTATGGTCTTTAATTTTGAAGAGTAAAAATGGAAAATGAATTACTGTAGGATAGTTCACTTAAATGTAAGATATAAATCTGGTAATTTCAAAGGAATTTGGTTTATATGACCAACATTGTTTTATAGAATTTTTCATATTAGCTCTTATGATTGATAATTTGAGGAAAAGGATTTGTAAGTGATCTGAGTTTTTCTTCTTAGGGGAGGGATGCTGTATTTTGGATGCTGTTCTTTGGCTGTAATTACTAGTGTTTCTGAAAGCTCTACAAAACTTAAAAATTCTGACTTCAGTTCTATAATATTAGTGAATAATACACTCAGGTTCACCAAAGACAAGTTTGATAATATACACTGACTTGCTTTAAATGAATAGTTAGAAATCTACACAGAAATAAGAATAATCTCAGACTGCCTTTCTGTTATCAGTCAAGCAAGCTCATTTTTAGACCATTTCCCTTTCATTAATTGGATAGAGGGTCTGGAATTGCGAATAGATTTTAATTGTTTTATAAGGTAAAACTGTTGGAGGAGAAAAACCTGTGTGTCAAGTAGAAATTTTAGTAAATCTGAAATGCTTCTTGTTAGGTTCTTGTTGAAAAGATTTCTCAAACACTGGAGCCCATTCTTCTTACCTGGTAAGGCATTTTAAACATTTAATTTAGATGGTTTATACTCTGTCTTCCTTCTAAATATCAGTTACCAATATCAATTTTCACTTTTCATAACTGTGCAAATACTCTTTTAAGGTTTTTGTTTGTCTAAATCATGTATCAAGTTAGTGAATTCTGCATTTAGGATAAAAAATATTTTTTTCACTTCTGATTACTAAAAGTAGTTACATAAGTAAAATGACAATTTCCCATAAGACAAGAATTGCTGAATGATTAAACTATGCCTAGGGAAAAAAAGTCAGAGTGAAGCCTTCCTTTTAATAAAGGTGACTTAAATCCTAACAAGATCGGGGGGGGGGGGACTCACGTTATACTTGTTAAATTTATGTTCAAATCCAAATACTGAGTTGTTTTTATTTTTCATCATAGACAAAGCAAATCCAAAAACCTAACCTAAAAAAATCTTTATGCATTATTAAAAGTGGTAGTAATAAAATATGTATCAGTGGTGGAGAATAATCCCACAAGCATTCAAGATTGACATAACCTTTAACAAAGTGGAAAAAATTTTATTAGAACTACCAATTCTAGGTTCAAATTTATGTCAAAGCACTTTATGGTACCAGAATTAGTACAACTAATTTTTTTTGAGCTTTAAAGTGTCATTTTTACTAAATGAGCTTAAATGAAATGTTTGAGACTTATTATTTGAGGCGAGGATTTATGCAAGTTTAGGAATCTTTGGCTTTGGTAAACTCCCTTTTTCCTAATTAGCATGTCTCTTTCATATGCTTTTCAGAATCATTTATCTCATAGCATGTGTTCGAAGTTACATCTAGTAATTTTTAAACTTCAAAAATAATCTCCCTGTTCAGTTACAAGGTTCTAAAAACAGTAAAATACCTTGTAATTTGAGTGACATTTTTTTCTTAGGTGAAGTACTTCAGAGCATTTGCCTAATCCCCACAACATTCTTCCGAATTAATATGGAAATCAATAATTGCCCTCCTTAAAAAGTGGGAAAACTGAAGCACTGTAAAGTTAAGCTCCTGGCCCAAGGTCACAGAGCAACTAAGGCAAAAAATCTGGGTATTCCATCTGCCGTTTCAGTGTACGTCTGTTATTCGTATTACCTTGAATAAAATATGGCACTTAAAAATTTATGATGTCATAAATGGTGAGTCTCTACTGAGCGGTACTGCATAATGTTAAATTTTTAAAAGAAAAATTACAAACGCAGGCTTAAGTACTACAGGGATTAAGTACTGAAGATTTTTTTTTAAGGTCGTTGATAGCAGTACTTGTGAAATAAATTGTCTTACTTAAGAATGTAATGTCCTAGACAGCACTGATTAGACAAAGTGTACAAAGAGTGTTCTTAAGACCGATGGACCATTAAGTTGGCACTAAAGCTACACCACAATAAAAGTCATACATATTGTATGTTGACACACTGAGAAGGGTGACAGGCATTTTCAATAATGTATTTTAGAAAACTGTTCATTTTTTGCTAATGTTTATCTGAATATAAGATCTAGAAAACAAAACAAGGAGGCACTGAGCACTGAGTTTTTTCATGCCCAGAATCCAAAAGTCAGGCTTTTTTTCTTTTTTTTCCCCTCCTGTTTATGATGGTTATTATGAGAGCATTGGCTTTTCAGATGGTGCCAATCCTGTGATGAGGCACTTGGAGAGTTTGAAGGTTAGGGCATGTGAAATATGGAGCTGGAAGGAAGCATGCTGCTATTCCATTGGAAGCAAAAGGGAGTGTAGGCCCATAGAACACTTCTTCTTTGCCTTCTCTACTCACATCCAGTACCTACAAAAGAAGAATAGGAGAAACGGGTAAGCCAGGGATGGTTGTTCACTGTAAAGCTGTGTACATGTCAAAGGGAGCCTGCAGTTGGATTCAGTCAGGCCACCATGACCATACCTTATGCATTGCTATTTGTTTTACAGTATAGTGCCAGAAATATGGATTAAGTTCCTGCTCAGTGCTATGCTACACATTTGTTTGTGTATGTGCATATGTACATAGATGTATATATATACTCATTTAATCTTCAGAACAGTGATGAGGTAAGCAGCATTATTCTTTAATAAAACCACTTTAGACTGGTTAAATAATTTGCCCGAACTAGTTAGTAAATGTTGTCGTATGCTGGTTTACAAATCCTCATCTGTAAAATGAAAACAACAGTGACCTTGCAGGTTTGTTCTGAAAATTGGTGACTTATAGCTCAGTGCAGCTTCAAAAAAATCAGTTCAGTTGATTCTGGAAGTTTTTCCCCAGTTATTTCCCCTTCAAGCTGGAGTTCTCTCTCTTTCCTTATATGGAAAAGAGTCGCCTTGTTAGTCTGTGCTTGCTGTCACCTTACTGATTATGGCTTAATCTCACCACTAGGAAAATTCTTTTATGAGGAGAGCTGATCAGCTCCTATTTGTCAAACCCATGATGCTCCTTCCAGCGCTCAATCATCTTAAGCTCTCTTCATATGACCTTCCTCTACTTTAATTTAAAATGTTTCCTCCCTTGGGTCCATGACCTAAAAACAAAATTTGTCATTGACAGCGTCCTATTGCTAGCCACCTTGGTCCCCTTCCTCCACCTGCATCCTAAATGTAGTCATGCCCCAGCAACATTCCAACCACATACCCCTTGGTTACCCTCTGCCTTAATGATCTTGTCTACTCTCTTGCCATCATCTGTCACCTGAGTGGGTAATTCTTAAGCCTTCAATGCAATAATGCACTATTTTAGATGAAAGAGGCCCTTGAGATTTAAGGGATCCAAGCTCATAATGGAGGAAACCACTAAAGCCTAGAATAAAAGAAAGATGAAACATGTAGCTTTTTTCCCCCAAATGGGTATTTAGCTGTCCCATCCCATTTTTTGAACAATATGTCCTATCACTACTAATTTTAAATAGTTCCAATATATGCTACATACAAAATTTCTTTGTTCTCTTTTGTTAACTTATGTATCTTCTGACAATACTACGTTTAAAGTTAGTTTGACTGTGTAGGGCATGACTCTCCCATTCATTTTCAAGCATTTCTATTATTATTACTATGTTTTCTTTCCTAGAGAAACTTTAGGATCAGTTTGACAAGTATTACTGCCCCACCCTCTGAGGGAAAGGAAAATTCCATTGGGATTTTGACTAATATTTCATTAAATATAGAAAGTAGAGATATTGCAATATTTACCTCAATTATATAAGATTACTGTCTTCAAGTTACAGAGAAAAAAACTGAGATGCAAAGAAAGTTCAGTGACTTGACCAAGATCACACAGCTAGTAAGTGGTGGAGCCAGTAATTGAGCTCAAGGTTGCAACACAAGAAAGAGCTAGGATTTCGTGCCATTTGTGACATCCCCACCCCAACTGAATACATTTTTAGACGACAAAATACCAGTTGAGGTCACCATCCAGAGAGCTTTTGTCTGGTTCCCTGAGCCAACAGAGACCACGTATGTTAAGCAGATGTAATTTATTTAATCTGTGAGATGGGAAAAGGAAGTGTTGGCAGTTTTTCTCTGAAACGCTCCCTGTAAACTGGCAGAAAGAAGGCGTCTGGGAGAAGGAGGTGCCAGCTTGGCAGCATATCCTCCAGCCAAAAACAAGTAATCATAGATGAAGAGCAGTGGAAGTGATCTGGAAACACAGACTAATCACTTGCACACTTAGGCAGCTGCTCCCCTCTGTGCTGCTCTTATCCTCAGCATACCACATTAGAGTCACCTGGGTGCCTGGCACTTGCTTATACACCCACAGAACAGGGGCACCTGACTTTCCTCAGGAATCTTTAAGATTTTCCACAAGCCAGCATTACGAACAAGTCCAAATCTCAATCTTTAAACAGTATTAATTTAAGCATGTCTCAGCTTTTCTCTTGTTTGGGTTGCCCTTGTAATGGATCAAATAGTCTATGGAGTCTGTTAAATCAAGCAGCAGGGAAAAAAAAAATGCTCTTTCAACGTTTGACATGCTTCATGTGTGGCTGAGTCCTACAAATGACAGTTAAATAAGCTTTGATTAGAGTCCAGAAGGGTCATTCTAATGAGATGGGTTATTGGCTGGAATTTTCAAGAGGGGAAAAAAAATGACTTTAGTCCTTCTGGATGTTACCAGACCATTCACTGCACTATTTTAAGTGTGACCGTCATTAATTGTAGGCATACCCTTAGAATCCAAGGATGCTACAGACTTCTGACTTATGAAACCAAAACTATGATACTTTTAAAACCTAAACTATAATACTTTTTAAATATATACTATTTTCTCCACCACTCTTTCCTGTACTTTTCAACCTGCTGATCTGTACTCAGGAATTTCTACTGTCTAATCAACATCTTCTCATAAACATGATTCCAGACACTCATTATCTTACTTTTGTTGGATACTCTTCCAGCAACTAGGAGAGAAACGGCTTGCTTTTGAACATGGAGCCAGCCAGTCTCTCCAACCATCAGTGTATTTACTATTATTGAATCAAAATAAATAGGTTCTATAGTAACTCAAAATACAAGTATTTGAGACTGTGCAACCATACTTTAGGATGATGATAACCAGTTGTCAATAACTAAAATGAGATGTGTATGATGAGTCTATTATCCATGAAGACTTCAAGTCCAAACATCTCTTTGAGTGACAGTCCATATGCTTATATGAACTTATTACCTATAAGCAGTAAAAGCTCTTAAAAAGCCTTTATCAAATTTTTCTGTGCTTTGTGGAACTAGTGTATCAGCCAAGGGAATAAATTTCCAAAATGATATTAAAATATTTTATTGTCCAATCTCACAGATGAAATTTATTTCACTAACACAGCCATTGATTAAAACATTTATGAATTGCCTCTTTTAGAATCACCTTAATCCCAATGCTACTCCAGAATATCCTCAGTGGGTTAAAATATACACATGTACCCCTTCATCTTTTGAGGACAGATTTGTTTGGAAACAGCCAGAAGCCATGAGCCATATACATTAATTAGTGTATATGATTAGTGACCATTCTAACTTAATTTCTATTCCTTAAGCTAATTTAATGTTACATTGAATAGAAATATATCCATAAGTATATTTTAAATTTGCATCTTTATTACCCAAACTTGCTTTCATGTATAAGTAGTCAAATGAAGGGTCCCAAAGCCACTTAAAAACATGGTCCCAGAATTACACAGCACTGCCTGTTGCCCAGTTCAATGTTTTACAATCCTGAAAGGTACAAAAAAAGAAACCCGAAAGACAGTGAAGACTGACAAACACATGCAAGGATGAAAGACTGGAAGCATTCCTTGAAAGAAAACAGTTTGCTTGTTTGCTGTTATCCAAAAGGTAGGACCAAGCTCTAGTACAAGGCAAACTTCAATTAACTAAAGACTCTTTTAAAGACTTTCATGGTTTTTCAAAGAACTAACTTGTGGGTTTGATCATTTTTTCTACTACGTTATTGTTTCCTAGTTCATTATGTGCCTCTCATTTTATTCTCTCCTTCTACAAAAAAATTCTCAAATATCTATCCCACAAGCTTTGCTCTCTACTGTTTCTATTATCCCTAAGTTCTGGGTACTTTTTAAACTTTCATTATGACTTCTTTAACCCATGAGTTATTTAGCAATGTGTTTTATTATTTCCAATATATAGGGAGTTTATTTAACTTTTTAAGTTCTAGCTTAATTGCATTGTAGTTAGAGATCACACAAATGAATAAAATTAGAAATAAAAGAAGAGACTTTAGAGTCTAAGGAACAACTCTGGGTACTCCAGAACCTGGGAAATGGAGACATCCAAAAAAAATATTACTAAGGCTGATGTTAGATATCTTCCTTCAGGGACTGGCCAAGACGGTGGAGTAGAAAGATAGATCCTGAGATCACCTCCTCCCATGAGCACACCAAAATTACAACTATTTGCAAAGCAACAATTAGTGAAAAAGATCGGAACCTACCAGAAAAGATCTACAACTAAAGATACAAAGAGGGAACAACGAGACAGGTATGAGGGGTGGAGCTGTGATTTACTCAAGCCCCAGACCCCCAGGTGTGCGACCCATAAATGGGAGAATAATTATAATTGCAGAGGTTCTCCCAAAGGAGTTAGAGGGCCAAGCCCCACATTGAGCTCCCCAGCCCAGAGGTCCTGCACCAGGAAGACTAACTCCCAGAGCATTTGGCTTTGCAGGCCATCAGGGCTTACTTTTAGAAGTCACAGAGGGCTAGGGAAAAGAGAGACTTCACTCTTAAAGGGTGCAGACAAAATCTCACACACACTGGGTGCCAGGGCAGAAGCACTCATTTGAAAGCAGCCTTGGTCAGACCTACCTGCTGATCTTTGAGAGTCTCCTGGAGAAACAGGAGGCAGCTGCAGCTCACCCTGGGAACACAGGCACCCACAGCACCCATTTGTGGGAACTCGTTCTACCACATGGACACTAGTGCTGGCAAGTGCCGTTTTGGAATCTTCCCTCTAGCTTATTATCCTCAAGACACAGCCCTGCCCTGACCCAACACCCTGTAGGTACCAGTGCTGGAACACCTCACATCAAGCAACTAACTAGGCACAAACACAGCCCTACCTATCAGCAGACAGGCTGCCTTAAGATCCCCTGATCCCACAACTGCCCCCTGGAAATGGCCCTGTCCACCAGAGGACCCAGGACTTGGCACCACACGTTAGTGTGCAGCCACTAGAACCGGGACCCCCAAGGCCTTCCAGCCAGAGACTACAGAACCCAGCTCCAAGGCCTTCCAGCCAGAGACCCCAGAACCCAGCCCCAGAATCCCCTGGGCCCTGGCCCCACCCTCCAGTGAGCTGACTCTAGCCTCCTGACCGGCCTCACACACCAGGGGGCAGACACCAACCAAGACAACAGAAGCCCCACCATCTATGGACCAGGCCAACCCACAGCAGGCCAGATCCAGCCAGCCAACTGTCAGGGACTGGTTCCACCCACCAACGAGCCGACAGCAGCGTGGGGACCTCTCAGCCCTGCAACCAGACCCCAGGATCTGGCTCGGCCTGCCAGTAGCCTTTGGGTCTCCTGGAATCTGACTCTACCCTGGGGTAGCAATAGCCCTGGGGTTCCACAGCCAACCTCTGCATGACCCAGTCCTGCCAACCAGTGGCCAGCAGCCTCCACATAAAGCAAGACCTGGCAACCCACTGGGCTGGGGGCCAGTCAAGCCTACCAGACTGCTCACAATAGAAGGACCCACACAGCCCACGTAAGGGCTAGAGCACATAGGTAAGAGAGGGGTGTGCTGCTGGGACACAGGACATCTACAAAAGGTCACTTCTCCAAGGTTGGGAAATGTGACCAACCTAACAGATACATGAAAATAAAAACAGCAAGTTAGGCAAAATGAAGCAACAGAGGAAGATGTTTACAAAGGGACAAAGCAAAACCCCAGAAGAACTAAGTGAAGTAGAGACAGTCAGCCTACCTGAGAAAGAGTTCAGGATAATGATCATAAAAGTGATCCAGAAACTCAGGAGAAGAATGGATACACAGAGTGAGAAGTTAGAAGTTTTACAAAAAAGAGAAAATATGAAGAACAGCCAGAGATGAAGAACATAATAACTGAAATGAAAAATACACCAGAAGGAATCAACAGTAAATTAAATGATACAGAGGAACAGATCAGTCAGCTGGAAGACAAAGTAGTGGAAATCACTGACAGTGAACACAAAGAAGAAAAAAATGATGAAAAGAAATGAGGACAGTTTAAGAGGCTTCTGGGACAGTATTGCGTGCACTAGTATTTGCATCATCAGGGTCCCAGAAGGACAAAAGCAAGAGAGAGGACAGGAAATATATGTGAAGACATGATAACTGGAAACTGTCCTAACCTGGACAAGGAAACAGACATCCAAGTCCAGGAAGTGCAGAGAGTCCCATACAGGATTAAACCCAAGAGGAACACGACACACTGCAACTACAATGACAGAAATTAAAGAGAATAGTAACAGCAGAAAGGGAAAAATGACAAAGACTATACAAGGGAACTCAAGCTTATCAGCTGGCTTTTCAGCAGAAACTCTACATGCCAGAGTGGCATACTATATTTAAAGTGATGAAAGGAAAACCTACAAACAAAATTACTCTACCCAGCAAGGCTCTCATTCAGATTTGGTGGTGAGATCAGCAGTTTTACAGACAAGCAAAAGCTAAAAGAGTTTGGCACCAGTATACCACCTACAAGAAATGTTAAAGGAACTTGTCTAAGTGAGAAAGAAAAGGCCACAACCAGAAACATGAAAATTACAGAAGGAAAAATCTCATCGGTAAACACAATCATACAGTAAACACAGGACATCATCCGCACACAAAGCTAGTAGGAAGGTTATAAGACAGAAGTAGTAAAATCCTGTATATCCACAATAAGCAGTTAAGGGATACAAACAGATACAGGAAAAGGTGCTCAACCATCAGTAATCATCAGGGAAATGCTAATCAAAAGCACAATGAGCTATCACCTCAAACCTGTTAGAATGGCTGTTACCAAAGAGACAAGAGTTAACAAGTGTTGACGAGGGTATGAAGAAAAGGGAACCCTTGTGCACTGTTGGTAGGAATGTAAACTGGCGGAGCTACTATAGAAAACAGTACGAAAGGTCCCCCCAAAATTGAAAACTACCTAGCTTACAATCCAGCAATTCCACTTATGAATACCAAAGGAAACAAAATCACTATCTTAAAGAGATAGCTCTACCCCTATGTTCATTGCAGCATTATTTATAATAGCCAGGATGTGGAAACAACTTAAGTGTCCACTGATGGATGGACAGATAAAGAAAATGTGATATTGAGATTAGGTAGATAGCTACATAGAATTTAGCCATGAAGAAGAAGGAAATCCTGCCACTTGCCACAACATGGATGGACCTTGAGGGTATCATTTTGCAAAATGAAATAAGTCAGACAGAGAAAGACAAATACTGTATGATCTCACATGTGAAATCTAAAACACCTGAACATACAGAAACTGAAAACAGATTGGTGGTCACCAGGAGCAGGGGTGGGGAGTGATGGAAATGTGTGCAGGTGGTCAAAAGATACAACCTTCTGGTTATAAGAATAATAAGTTTGGGGAATGTAATGTACAGCATAGTGACTATAGTTAATAACTGTATCATATATTTGAAAGTTGCTAAGGGAGTAAATCTTAAAAGTCCTCATCATTAGAAAAAAAACTTTTGCAGCTACATGAGTTAATAGATGTTAATTCACTGTGGTGATTCTTTAGCAATATATACATATATAAAATTACTGTGTTGTACACCTTAAACTAATACAATATTAAATGTCAATTATGTCTCAATAAAACTAAAAAAAAAAAAATTCTTTTGTTTGATCCAAAACCTGCCTCCATGAGGACAGGCTTGTCAGCTACATTATTCAGATCTTTGCTACTTCGCTGATTTAGGCCTAGCTGATCTATATCAACAACAGAAATAGGTTTTAAAAAAATCCCCAGTCTACGGCCATACCACCCTGAACACGCCCGATCTCACCTGATTAAAACAAAATCCCCAGACAAACCTCTGGCAAGACAAATCAAGAGAATAAGAGAAAAACCAAGCAATATTATGAATGTAAAGGAGAATATAACAAAGGCTAACTCAATAACTTTATGCTAACAGCTCTGAACACTTAGACAACATGGATAAGTTCCTTGAAAAACATATATATACCTTATGAGATGCGACTGAAGAAGAAAGTAAAAGCCTGAATAGTCCTGCAACTGTTAAAGCTATTGAAGCAGTTGTTAAAAGTCTCCCCACAAAGAGGAGATTATTTAATATGAGTAATCACAAGAATATATTTTTCTGGAGGTAGAATAAAGGGCAGGGCTAACACATGTCAGTAGGTTATCAGAGAACATGTAAAGTAGAAGGACAACTATGGTGCATCAGAATTGTTTAAAAATGAAATAAATAATAATACCTTGACTATATATATATAAAACCAAAGCTACCGTTGTTCTGAGCCACGACCGGCAGCTTGCCCAGCCTGGAATGCTCACGTGCTGATGTGCCAGGGGTGCTCTTTGGGGCAGAGCCTCCCCTGTCAGACCAAGCATAAACCACTAGTGCTCACTTCTGCCAGGAAGGAAGAACATGTTTGCAAGTGGCATTTATTAAATGAATGAACTGCGATACAGAAAATAAGGAAATGGAGTAGAAACAAGATACGCGTAACTTTTGGGGAGTGTGAAAGTACTATTGCTAAAGACTGTTAGGTTTATGAGAGGGCAAGGTATCCCACTTTTCCATTTCCAGAATATATCACATATATTTTCAAAGCTCATTCCCATCTTTATTTTCAACAGGGCTCAATCATTCATTAGGTATCATTTTTAGGATGCAGGATGAAGTTTAGTGGCTGATGTAGCTGCACAAAGGGGGCTCAAGCTTCTTTCTACATGTAAATATCTCTTCCTTCCATAGCAACATAGCAAAAAAAATAACCTCACTGAACAGTGTGAACAAACTTCAAAAGGAACTTTAACCACTCACCTGGATACAAGCCAGAGGCTCATTTGTCCAAATTGAATATCCACCAACTAAATATATTCTCTCATTATGGACAGCAACTCCAGATTCATTTTGGCCTAAAGTAAAGAGAATTGGATAAAAAGGAAAATAAATCTATTTCCTTGAATATCTTAATTAACCCTTTTGCCACTGAGGGATACAATTTTCCCCTGTGGCATACTTGTATACTCCATGGGATTTCTGCAGCAACTAATCACTGCCTCCCAGTTCTCAGAGGGAAGAATTAATCACTATTCCTCAGAGAATGAATCTGTGTTGGGTCAGAACCAGGCTGTAACACTCATAAGCCACCGAAGTTAGTAAATACAGCACTAAGTATAGCAATAATAAGCCATAGAGAACTAGAGTTTTAGACTATGTTGTATGGCATTAATTTATAGTGATGGAAGTAAAGTTTATTTTAAAAATGCAAGACACCTCTTGTACTACAAATGCTTTTAAGGCAAGTGCTTACATTTGTAACATATGCAACCCCAAGAAGCCAATAAAACAGTCATGCCCCTAGTGTGTCCCAAATGAAGACAAACGACAGAAAAGATTGATAAAGTTACTACCCCCTTTTCTTTACATACATAACAGTTTTAAGACTATATTAAGTTCCCGAGCTGGGACCAGTCTGGGTAGTCCCTAGACACTGACACGCCAAAATGATGAAAGATTCCTCCCTATTTAAAAAAGAAGTCAGAATAACTCACAACCACATATTCTTCCCCGGAGGCCATCGGATAGTCTCTTTTTATTGATGGGCTGATACAGGATTGACTCCAGCAATAAATAAGCTGGATCCTAGAGCAGACAGAATCACAGATCCAGGCACCAAGGGGCTAAGGTACCCGTGCAGCAACTTAGAGTTAACTGCTTGCAGGTGGGCCCCAAAGATCATTTTCACAAAAACAAGAGCTCCGCACAAAGCACCGGAACCGCTCACATTGGTTATGCGCCCCCACAGCCTCCCTAGCAGCAGCCGTAAGTGACTGAGTGCCCACTCAGCATATTAAAATGTCTTCAGGCACTAATTCAGCCCACCCTTCTGAGTGTGCAATTTTCCTATTAGTAGAGCAGCCTGGCAGGGATCTGATCACTTGTGGATGTTGACAAGTGCAAGCCGAAAAAGGGAGGAAAAGTTTTCAACTTCATAAATGTCAGGGGTAAGCAGCTCACTGCTTTCATTTTATTCTCCTTTGGGGTGAAGATGGTCCCCTTCTAGTGCTGCCCCGGGGTAATGCTCAGGTGGGTATGCGTGGTCAGAAGTGCCGCCAAACCCCTACGTGCAGAGCTTCTCTAAGGTTTAGTCTTTAGGAGAACACAGCTGGAAACAATATTTGACAGTGACAAATAATGAAGACCATTCTCCTGAACTCACAAGAAGTTAGAGGACTACAAATAGTGAGAAGTAAAAAATAACTTGCTCCTGTCATTAACTCTTCCAGAGCCTCGTTCCTCCTACTTGCATCAGTATTCCTATGTGAATATTGATTGACGATAATAAACGTAACATGCCTTTCTCAGCAACGTGAGAACGTGCAAAAAGGTAATACAGGCCCTGAGAAACTAGACGCTCAGCCACTTGAGTCAGATTTTGAGAGATAAATAATATGCCCCTTTCGGGGTGATACAAGCACTCTGTCCTACCACCATGCACTTAATATTTCGAGCTGCACCACAGAGGTCTAAGAAAACACGTCTGGCAACTTTTTGTATCTCTGCTTCTCCTGATTTACTTAATCAAAGGTACTTACCAGTCAAAAGGTTAAAATTACAACGCGTCCACTGGTCGGTGTCTATGTTGTAGGAGTCTATGTGCCGCACGAGGATGCGGTCGTTATTGTAGTCCAGGTCATTGCCTCCAAGAACATACAGCTTCCTTTGGACAGCAGCCATGGAATGGTAGACCCTCCTCTGCAGCATGGGGCTGCGGCTTATCCACTTATTCTGGGGAAAAAAAAAAAAAAGAACTTCAGGTGAATTGTTAACTGGAGACCTCCATAGCAGAAAACAGCAGTTCCTTGTTAGTAGTGAGGACCCTAATGTTTTCAATCACATTCTCTTTGAATGTTGTTTATAGTCTTTGAAAGGTATGGGCTTCTCCCCCGAGAACAAGTGCGGAAAACTCCATCCATTCCAACTTTATTTTTCAACTTACATAAGGTTTTTTTTCTCTTGTTTGGTTTGCATATAAAGGGCATTTTGCATTTGTAAGGAGAGTGCGTGAGAATTTAAACATTTCTATAATGGTTCTTTCTCCCAGCTGAGAGAACTTACTCCTGCAAATGACTTAAGGGTGGAAGCGCCTGGGCGGGTTTAGTGGGAGCGGTGGTGTGATGATTAGAAAACAGGCTCTGGACCCAGGATGCCCGCGTTTGTGGTCTGCGCCTGGCCTTAGCAAGTTACCTCACCCGTCAGTGCTTGTTTCCTCATCTAGAAAACGGAGATCATAATACCTACCTGAAAAGCCAGCTGTGAAGATTAAATGAGCTAATACATACCCAAAGCATTTAGAACAATGCCTGGCACATGTGTCCAACAATATGCACTTTTCAAAAAGCTATTATGATCTAATCACTGGTTGCCCGAGGCCCTGCAGAAGCTCACAGGAGGGGGGCATCTTTGCTGTTCTTCCCAGGGTGAACTGCTTGAGGTCGATGGAAGAGCTAAGATATGGTTCGGCAACAAACTCCTCACAGCCTTTAATATTACTTACACTCACGTGTTCACCAAATTGAGAAAAGTTATTTCTAGGCATATGTTTATTTGTTTTGGTAGAAGGCCAAATTTTCTATGATAACTTTAGGGAATGGTGAAGATTCCAATATTTGGTTCTAGATCATGCTCAGGAATGAGAAAGGTATGCTCGACTCCTCTCAAATGAGGCTCCTATTTAAAATACAACGTAAAATTAGATGAAAATCAAGTATGACTTTAATTATCTCAACTAAGTAATCGACAGGTAAGTAAACCTATTTTCTTTCTATACAAATATCTCTAAACATACAGGAAGAAAACACAGATTACTCCTTTTTGCCATGAAAAATTTGGATCTCGACCAGAAAAACGATATGATGTTTGGATAAATGGAATTTCACCAGTTCACAGAGCTGTAAAGAAAGAAGCAAAAAAAAAAATGTTTTGTATAAATATTGGTCTGTTCCCTATAAGCATATCAACTAGATTTCTAAACTTCTCTCTTAAAGATGCAGTAAAAGAAAAAAGAAAGAGGTTTGTCCAATTTTTTCAGGCTTGCATTTATCTGCTCCCCCTTTTAAAACATGTCATAGTAAGAATCTCCTTCCAATTAAATGCATCTTTAATAAAACAGTCAAACCTTTCTTTCAGATATTCTGCTAAGAAATATCTGTAATACATTATGCAAGAGTGGATTTAACTCCAAACTCTCATGGGGCTTTCCTTAGGTGCTTTCTAGGAGGCAATCCACCACAGTATTAGAAATCGATGTTTGTATGAGCAGTCCAGTCCCCTGCCACAAGACTATGGATGCCATCTGGTTTGCAAAGCCTGCCTGCATCCCCTGATTACATCTTTAGCTTCCTTCACTGCCGTGCCTGCCAGGTGAGCCGCCAACCGCTGCAAAGGCAAAGAAACAGAGAGGCCTGGTGGGGTCATTCCTAATAAACTAGCGTGTGAATACTAATCAGTGGTGGGGAAGCAGAGGTCACCCCAGCCTGCCTGTTGGCAGGTAGTGATGTGCTCTGTGGCAGATGGCAGGCATTATCGACTCTCCACAAAGGCCTAGAAGAGAAATAAGCACTAGGGCTGAATGATAGAGTTATTGAGATTCTGAGCAAGATGCAAGCAGATGTGATGTTTGCCAGTACCCACCGTAAACAATATGCCAGCAGAATTTTAAAAAAGAGCATGTGTGTACAAACATGAAACAGAACTCATTTGAGAAATGTTAACACCTTCCTCCTCTTTAACCGCGTGTGCACCAAACTCAAACAACTGCAATTAACGATCCCACTTGAGACATCTAACCCAGGGACATGTGGTCTCTAAAATCTACAGCTTCTAATGGCATCAGGAAGCACACTTGCAAAGACAGACATACCTTTGTTAAACTCAGAATCAAGTACTTGTTAAAATAAAAAGATGCAAATAGGCTGAGGTCACTCTGGACATACATTTCATGGCCAATCCTGAGCCAGAGTGCCAAAGCCAACCTGTTGTCTTATTTCCATTATCTTCAACTGATGAAAATTAAACCCCCAAGTCAAGTCATTTTGGAATATTGTAATAATCATGAAAAATTACATTACCAAAATCATAGAAATGGTGAAATTCAGCAAACATTTGCCATGGTCACAAATACCTTGGTAGAAGGAAGAGAGAATAAAAATAGTTCTTCTTTGGGAAAAAAAAAGTCATTAAGTGTGCATGAGAAGTGGATGGATAAAGGGACAGGCACCATCAAAATGCTCCTGGTGGAGGCCCGGCTGTTAGATAAAAAAAAAAAAAAAACTCCAGCTCTCAGATACTTTTACTTCAGACTTGTCCTACACACTGTTCAGGGATGCTTTGGCTATGCTGCATTAAATAAGTTATTACTTGACTTGGAAATGGCAAAACCATAAGCATATTCGCCTCATAGAATGACACACCTTCTAAAAGGACGTAGTGATAGGACAATCCAAAGCCTTTCTCTGAATGCTTCCAAGACGACAGCCACTTGAGATAATGGAATTAAGGCATTTAACTAATATATCTTCCCTTTTTCCTACATTATGCAAAGCTCTGAAAGAGTTAAGCACTGCATATAGCATAAAACTAAAGGAGCTGAAATTTGGTGAGAAAAAAAAAGAGCAACCCAAAAGCAGTTTATCCAGATGCTTCCTTTTCTCTGTGTAAGTTTAATAAGATGCATGTGTGTGTACAGACCTGGCATTCCAACTCCTAATTACCATGGAAATCTTTAAAAATTCATTTTAATTAAGGTCATAAGATTTTCTTGTATGAGTCTTACCTGGTTAGGTTCATATACCATTAGTCTGTTCTGATACTGGGCTGTGTTGGTTACCCCACCTGTAATGGATTAACATGTGTTAGCGCTTTCATGCATAAGAAATGGAATATTCCAACATAAGGATGAGCTACAATTAAAGGGAAATTAGCTACTGCTGAGGATCTGTTTGTATACCCTCGTGGTGAACCCATGACATAATTAAGAAGCTTATTGTTGAAGCGGTTTCATTTTCAAGAAACATCTCAGAAGCAATCCAGTTGAGAGGGAGCAACAAGTATGCTGAGGTTACCAGGCGGCCCCCAGTTCTGGCAAGCTGCTCTGCACGGCCAGAAGGAGGGGCCAAGTACGATGAGGGAGTGGGAGCTACGTAGCACACACACCTAAGACAAATTTCTATACAATGTGTGCCAGGGACATAATTATATGGAAAATTCTTGTCCTTAGCTCAACTGGCAGTTTTACAGCTCTGATCTTTTGTGCGCCAACACAGTGATATCTTGATATCTCCTTGGAAAAACCAGGTCTAAGAAAAGACATTACTTATCAAAAGAGATCTAGAGTCAATGTTGTCCAACAGAATAAAATAAGAACCACAAACACATGTCACATATGCAATTTCAAATTTTCTAGCTGTCACATTAAAAATAAAAAGAAACTCTTTACTTTAAAATTAAACTTAATATGAATTTCATTTAACTCAATACAGCAGCCCCCCCTTATCTGGGAGGGGATACATCCCAAGACCCACAGTGGATTACTGATACCATGGATAGAATCGAACCATATATAAACTATTTTTTTCTACATATATATACCTATGATAAAGTTTAATTTATAAATTTGGCACAGAAAGAGATTAACAATAGTAATGAATTTGAACAATTATAACCATATACTCTAATAAAAGTTACGTAAATGTGGTCACTTAAAATCTCTCTCAAAATACCTTATTATATTGTACACCTTCTGGTGATGATGTGGGATGATAACCTACGTGCTGAGATGAAGTGAGGGGATGACATAAGCAGTGTGACATATGGACCTTCCGACAACACATCAGAAGGAAGATCATCTGCTTCAGATGACCCTGGGTCATCGAGCCCTGACAATGTTGATGGCTGGATGGCAAGAGGAGACTGTGCCCATGGTCAGGGGTCCTGAGTGGGATGGAGTGGAGTGGCATGAGGATTCATCATGCTGTTCAGATAGTGCACAATTTAAAACCTCTGAATTGCTTATTTTTGGAATTTCCCATTTATATTTTTAGACCATGTTTGATTATGGGTAATTGATACCACAGAAAGCAAAACTGCAGATAAGGATGAACTGCTGTGTAGCCAAAATATCTTTTCAACATAAAAGTAATATAAGAAATATTGAGGTATTTTATATTCTTTTTTTTTCATACTAAGTCTTCAAAGTCCTGTGTGTATTTGACACAGGACATCTCAATCCAGATAGTGAAGGTGGTGGACAAGAACTACCTACAAAGCTAGTATGAAGGTTAAAAGACAAAAGTAGTAAAAATCATCTATATCTGATATAGTTAGTTAAGTGTTGTCAAGGAGGTAGAAAAAGGGGACTTCTGTGCACTGTTGGTGGAAATGTAGTTTGTTGCAGCCACTATGGAGAACAGTATGGAGATTCCTCAATAAATTAAAAACAGAACTACCTTATAGTCCAGCAATTCCACTTGTGGGTATTTATGAAAAGAAAATGAAAAAAAAATTCAAAAAGATATATGTACCTTTTGTTCCTGTTCACTGCAGCATTATTTACAATAGTCAAGATATGGAAGCAACCTAAGTGTCCACTGATGCATGAGTGGATAAGGAAGATGTGATACATGTAATAGAACATTACTCAGCCATGAAAAAGAATGAAATCCTGATATTTGCAACAACAAGGATGGAACTAGAGGGTATTATGATAAGTGAAATAGATAGAGAAAGACAAATGCTGTATGATTTCACTTATATGTGGAATCTAAAAAACAAAGCAACCAAACAAAACAAACAGATTCGAAGATACAAAGAACAAACTGGTGGTCAACAGAGCAGAAAAGGATGGAGGTTTGGGTGAAACAGGTGAAGGGGATTAAGAAGTATAAAATTCCAGTTATAAAATAAGTAACTCATGGGGATGTAATGTATAGCATAGGAAATACAGTCAAAAATATTGCAATCACTTTGTATGGTTCAGATGGTTATTAAACTCACCATGGTGATCAATATCATGGTGATGCATATAAATGTTAAATCAATATGTAAACCTGAAATTAACATAGTATTGTATGTCAAATATACTTCAATTAAAAAATTAAAATTAAAAAAAATTTTAAATGTGTACTATAACAATATCGACCAAGGTCACCTTAACATTCCCCTAAGCTTGACTAAACTTTAGACAGGCTTCTTCCTGTGTCTGGGTCCCTGACCTCCCTTTTAGAGCATTTATTTTAGAAAACTTGTAATTGTAAATTCTTTCTCTCTGTCTCCTTGAGATGTAAATCATTTAAGAAGCTTCTTGTAAGTTCTACAACCCAGGAATATTTTCCTCAAAGATCTGCAACCCTCCCACTGAGATTATCACCAAGGAAGACAATACTCCTCTCTCCCAGTTTCTATGGATGCTAGGATCCTAACTCCAATGGATGCAAATCAGCAAACACGAATGACCTACTCACAGAAAAAAAATATTTACAAACTGTGTTCAACACATCACATCGATCAACCTTCCTCCAAAAGTACTTCAGTGATTTTCCGCTGGCTCACTCCAGTGCTTAAAACCCCTATTGTTTTTCAGAGGAACTGAATTGAAGGCTGCACTCTGGTCTCTCTTCCCTGGTGCCACAGTTTTGAATAAAGTCTTCCTTGTCTGTTTTAACTTTGTCCACTATACCTTTTGTTTTGGCCGTTCAAAAACTTGGAAAAGGTTACCACTATCAACTCCATGCCACGAGTCAAGTCAACCAGAATCTAGAGGATTAGTGCGTCATCCCAACTAAACTAGAATAATCAATCAATAGTAATGGCTACATAAAGGGGAGGCAAGGGAACCTGTCCAGGCTAATCATTACTCTCTCATTCAGCCTCGGTAAGGAGATTATCCTTCATGTTACTGACCACAACTGTTATTAACTGGAAGGCTTTTTTATTCTAAGTCTTCTCTGAAGCTTGCAACTACTTTTAAGATCAGTGGAAGCTTTGTCTGCAGAGGAAATACACCAAGAACAGAGAGAAATGTGCTTCCCGCCCTCAAAGAAAGTCTCAGGATTTCTCACTGAATGTCTCATTTTTAAAGATGAAATCAAAGAAAAAGAAAATACACTTAAGAAAGCTGAAGCTGAAATGCCAAGATGAGGTCAAAATGTATGTCAAAATAAATACATAGGTATGTTTGCTTTCCACCTCTCAATCTTCCTTTTTTAAATCTGATTAAAAATGGAATGTCCAATAATTCTTTCTCAGCATAACTACAGAAGACTAATCAAATCTATTGAGACCTCACAAGTCTTCAGGGTTAAAATGATTGCCAAGTGCTTTTGATCTGGGCCATAACCACCAGATTAATGTCCAGATCGCCTATAATCATTTCTCCCAATGAGAGGGAGCAGAGGGTGAACTCCCCACATTATTTCAAAGCTTTGACGGTTTCTCTACTTGTTTTAGAAATATGGGACAGAATTAATATCTACTGCAGTAAACTATCTGTTGATGACACGATTTGAAAATATTTACACTACAGTATGTATCAGACTCTGCCCATTATAGATTAAATGTACAACCAATGGATCAGAATGTCACTACTGCAGCCTCTCCCCCAAGCGGGGTGCACCATTTATCTTCATGCTCTTCACAATTACTATTTACTGTCTTCCACAGATGCATTTATTATACAGTTTTTTTCCCCTGAATCTCACTCAGTAATTAGATTCCTTAGCCTTACATACAAATTTTCACTCACATGACAATGGTTAGAAATGAGATATTGGGTTACTAGTTGGGGGTAAAAATAAAAGTCCTAGTTAGTTATTTGGTTGATTACTTCTAGAATGTTAAACCAGAGGAGGTGCCTGGAAAACCAAGTGCCATAACTTCTGCCAAGTCACGATGGCAAGGGAAAACCTTACGAATCGGTTCTATTGCTTTCCAACCCCCTTGAAACAGCTTACAAATGAGCATATAAATAAAAACCATTTCTTCTCAGTACAAAAAATAAATTTCAAAAAAAGCCTTCGAGTTTGCAGCCCACACTTCACTAGCCGTGTTACTCATTTTCAGAGCTCTGTCATTACATTCCCTTCACATAACACTCTTCACTTTTAGATTAATCTTCTGAAATGAGATGCTCAGGATTTGCATACAGATTTGACTATACAAAAATAGATATGGAATTAATAACAGTCTCTATATGTTTTAATTTCTCCTAGACTGGAGTACCCTTGCCTGCAGCAGTATTCCTGGCTTTGAAAGTCATCAAGCTGATTTGCCTGCTCTGGGTTATGATGCCACATGCTGCTCTACTGTCCCCTGCAATCAAAGCACTTGCAAAGATAGATTCCATGCCTTCCTCTATCGAGTATATTTTATAGATTGGCAGTTTTGATCTCCCTCCCCCACCCCAGGGGGGATAATCTGCATCTTAACAGCTTTCTATAGATACATCTGTCATTAAATATGCCATCTCCTATCAGCATCCATTTTTAAAGCCAAGTTTTCCCTAACTTTGAAGTGCCACAGTCAAAGTTAAGACTTTTCAGCCAAAATTGAAAATGAACAACCCTGTCTTATACTTCAGAACTGTGACTTAAAGATAGACTGCAGGTTCCCCCAAAGTCAAATAAGTCTTTAAAAACTGCCAGGAGGAATGAAAAGTTACCACCGTGCTACCAGCAATGAGAAATGCTTTCTATCATCAAGACAAGAGTAAAGCATTTTTCTTAAGCTTCCCTGTTCAACTCCCCACAAAACATGGTGACAAATGGATGAATGCAAGCCAGGGAGAAGATGACAGGTGACTGCTCTGTCTCCACTACTGAGAAGTCACCGAATCCTAA